AATATCCTGTGTTGAGCAGCATCATGGCGAATTCTAGCGGGCATTTCGACAGAAATTTTATTGATAGCGTTGTCGACTACGCGATGACAAATCAAGGTTACGTCCGCCTATGTGATTGCTGGCCTATTGGATCAGGTGCATCTGAAGATGCAACAGGTTAAGTACTTCGTGGCAAACAGCAAGGCATGGATGCGCAGATGATGGCGATATCGAAAAAAGATGTTGAACCAGATGAAGTCTCCACCACCTCGAATAAAAGTGAAAATGGACGCTGGATCCTGTTCAACGCATTTACACTTTCCTAGTTTGGTGGGTTGTCATCATATCGACGTAGATACAATCTACACTGAGTTGCGCGTCGGCTATGCGACGTGGCTCACGTCGTTCTGTTTTCCGACGGTCGAGGAGGACATGCTGCTCTACCTCGCTGGATTAGGTGGGAAGGCTTATGGAATAATATTAATATCTGTTGCTTAAATTCTGGACGCCTGTTGTATATCAACCACTGCTGTATTTCTGTTGATAAGACTTAAAACCTGTTGTTCGTTTCCTTACCCTTAGTTCAACAGAATGTCAGTGCTGAACGCTTGCCACTCTATTTTCAGCGTCGAAGTGCTGAGACTCTGGTGCGTGGATCAGCAGGAACTCTTCTTGTCGTCTCACACGTTTAACGGTGCACCCGGGAGCGACAAGTGCGTCGAGGTGCTGGGTTCGCACCTCCGAAGCGAATAAGTACACAGATGTGTAGCTTCCGAAGGTATGGACAACGTAGTTGGGGCAAAACAAGCCGCTAATGACTATATTCCAACGTATTTTTATTTGCTACCAGTAGGTTACACCGTTTGGGTCTCTGTTCGTATAAATTTCATTGCCGCAGCATGGAGACCGAGGCGGATTTATCCGGAAATGAGAGCGATGCTACAGTCGTTCTTGAGTACCCTGATGGAGACGACGAAGCTAACAACGCTAGCCTACAAGTGGAACCCACACAGCTGGACGTTGAAAGTGAAGTTTTGGAAACGAAAATTGTGGTTGAGCATGCCATAAACGCACCTCTTGACGTGAGTAGTGGCGATTCCGAAGACCTTCTCGACTTTGGTAGTGATAGCGAGGACTATGGAATTGAGATGGCTGCTCAAAATCGAAGGGAACCGGCACCTCCAAAAGAAATATTTAAAAGTATGGGGTTTACAAAACATTGGGTGAGGCGGAAGATGCTCTTCACGGCTTTAATCGCTTCGTCTGCACGTATCGAACAAGGTATCTCTTCACTTTTGTGCTTGGAAAGTGTATCAATGTCCATCACATAATGGTTTTGGTCACCGCTTGAAGCTATCAACTCATCGAGGCAATGAAACATCTATTCGGTATCAGCTTTTGCAACGTGGCCATCACTCTGGCGCAACTATTCAACTTCCAGCACGAGGAATTTCTCCCGTTTTAAAACCAGAGCTGATGCACTACTCAAACTGGGAATGTCAGCTGGGCGCGTTAGAAATATGATTCTTTTCAAGTACATTCGAGAGCCTGAGATGTTAGAACATGTTCCTGACGTTCGAAAGATGGAAAGCCGTAAAGCTTATCTGAAAAAAAAATAACTGGAGGATGGGAGGTCAACAAGTTTATCTCGTTGAGGAGCTGGTCTGCTCTCAAAATGTGCCAGGACCGCACAAAGTTTCTTGGTGTAGATGAGGCAACGTTG